TGGTGTCCCCCCGCCCCCCCAGTGCATCCCCGCGCCCCTCGCCCTGCCATGCTCTTCATTCCCCAGGTCCAGGCGTCACACCTCCATCAGCCGGGAGATGGCAGCCACGGGGGACAGGCAGGAGCCCCCTCGCATCCCGCCCCCTGTCCGTCTCGAGCCACCAGGGACGCCTGGAACCCACCACCAGGAGGCGCCGCCTCACTTCCACAGCCACCAGCACGGTACTCCCCCGGCACTGCCACCCTGACCCCGCGGGCACTGCCACCCTGACCCCGTGGGCACTGCCACCCCGCGGGCGGGACACAGGCAACCTTCTTTGTGCTGGGCTCCTGCACCCTCAGGTCCCCGTTGGGCTCCTGCATCCTCAGGCAGCGTTGGTTGAGGGGGGGCCCACGTCGTGAGCAGTGGTTCCTGGGGCCAGTGTCCCGGGACTGTTTCTTTTGGGAGGGGTGTCAGGGGCAAAAAGAACAGCATCCTCAAGGCCTGGGTCTCAGATGGAAGCGAGTCACCGATCTCCCTCCCCAGCCTTGGAAAATGGGGCCCAGAATTCTGGGCCGCTGGTGTGGGCGGGGCCCAGGGGCCTAGCCCCGCCCCCGGCAGGGTCTGAGTTGTCCGGGTGTGGAGTCGCCGGGGAGGATGCCCAAGCCCCGTGCACATGGTGCCCCTGGGCCATCCTGCTCAGAGGCCCGTCCATGCCCCACGCCCCCAGGAGGCCTGGCCTCGCCCAGGGCACACAAGCTGAGGTTCGGGAGCAGCGGCTGTGCTGAGCGCCAGGCTCCAGGCGGGTCAGACCCCGGGGCAGGCCTCTCCGCACGAACACAGGAGGAAGGTTGGGGCCTGAGGGCACCCAGGGTCAATGCAGGACGGGAACCTGAGTTCCCAGCAACACCCTGGCTGGGCTGGCAGGAGCCTCCGGGCCCTCACGCCCTGGGCAGGCCCTGGAGGGGTGCTGTGTGTTGGGGGTCAGGACCTAGGAGCCCTCGGTGGCGTCCTGTAGGCTGCTGAGAGAGCCCTGGACTGGAGAGGTGGGGAGATGAGCCCAGCCCCCCTGTACCTCCAGATCCTGAGGTGCTCTCGCAGCCCCCGTGGGAGAAGGGTCTGGTGGACCTGCATGTCCAAGACGTGGAGGAGGTCCAGGTGGGCAGGGACGCCTGCTGGCCAGGTGAGTGAGGGAAGCTGCCCGCCAGCCGCGTGCAGGCTCTGCAGCCTCAGCTTCAGGCACCCCCCCAAACTACAGACTTTTGCAATAATCCAAGCAAAAGAATGAACCTCACGTCAACTCAGCTACTGATCGGTTGGCTTTTTTGCTCATTTCTAGCTCTGCACCTCTGCACCTACTCCTCAGCATAGTCACAGATTTCATTTTTGACTTCTGTATATTTTGGTTGATTGGTTGGTTGGTTGGTTGGCTGGTTGGTTGAGTGGTCAAGCTAGGTTGGCTTTGAGGAAAGAAGGGTAAAGGGGAGAAGGTTGGAAGGAAGCAGTGAGCATATCCAAGTTTAATGACACATCTATCAGGTTTCTAGACACCATTTTAATTCCACTGAAAAACAGCAGTTTACATTGAAAATAGGGCAAAAGCCCAGTCCAGCACAGCCTGGCCT